TCTTTCCAAACACTCCCTAATTTAGCCTTTTGATGTCTTCATAAAGAAATGGTGTTTTATTAGATACCACCTGCACATGTGTATAAGGAGGCCAAATTTTAGTAACATTTAAGGGCTAAATGCTTACGAATACTTAACATTTAATCCTATTTAATCTCCTAAATCAGAACTAAGAGATCTTTTGTGGAGTTTGTAGAGCTTTGGCAAAGTGCCTAAAAGCAGAGGTAGGTGCCCCAGGAGGTTTTCAAAAGTGACTGAGTATGTAACTCTCCATGAAATTAACCCCGAGATCCTGACTCACACTGTTACTCCAACCAGACTAGCTCTAAATCCATACACCTCTGCTCAATCCTACTGAAATGATGCCACTTGTTTACCTAGGGAGAAACAACTGGAAAGCCGTGACAGGCTGAAAGCTGGGAGCACAATGAACCAGGTCTGGCTTCACATACTGAACCCTACAGATGCAGATAAGGGAAAATACACCCTGGAGTTATTTGACGGGAACAAATCTCACAAACTGTCAACTGACTTGTCCGGACAAGGTAAGGCGAGTCAAGAACACTGCCACAGGAATGAGGTTCATCGGAGCTGCCTGCCAAGATCCCTTCAAATCATGGGCAGCTCCGTATGTGAGCTGGAGCTCCACACCAGCACACTCTGAAGCTGGGTTAAGGACAGTGAAGTGCCCACAGAAGTCAGAGGAAGCACAGGGAAAGCAGAAGTGTGCAGCAGGGAGGAGCAGAAGTGGAACCTGTAGGGAGCCTTGCTGCCACAGCGTGAGGCGTTCCTGGGGATAGGATGAGCAGGGGAGCAGCTGCTCCTGGATGTGTCCAGTTCCTCCATAGGCCAGCACAGCACATGGGTGGCATCTTGGAAAAGAGTGTGTGGCTTCAGGCTTATAAAGGTGTCTCCAAACTGCTCAAAATTGGGTTTTTTCCTCCTCCAAACTTCTCTTTGGAAAGGGAGCACCTGAGCCCACTTATTTTAGTAGTATATAAGTAGAGTCATATTCCTTTAGGGCAGATATAAATACTGTCTAGATGATAATTACACATATCTGTGTGCACAAATACCTGTAATTCCAACATTCACGCATTATATTAAATCCACTAAGTCAAATGAAACAAATGGCAACTTTCCCTAAAATCTTTCATTCCTTGCAGCCTTTGAAGATGCCCTGGCTGAGCACAAAAGGCTAAAGTAAGTTCCTGCCCAAATATTTTCACAGCTAAATCTATCTTGACTGTCGTATTTTGTATTGAGAATACAATGTCTAATAAATAAAACCCCTACAATTTTATCTCTCACTTTCAGGGAAGCAGCAGTAGCAGAAAAGTGTAAGTAAATTAATTTCCTTTCTCCTGTGAAGCAAAGCCAAGGGGTATGCTGACAAGTAAAACTAAAAGGTCATATTTGTTCATTCCCAGGTCGTGCCAGAGTCGTTCAAGGTCTGCCAGATGTTGCCACTATCATGGAGGACAAGGTAATATTGGGTAACTGTTAGTAAAATTGGTGCCTGCACAGGCACAGAAGAATAACTGATGGGAGAGAACTACTTGTTTTCCCCTCCTGTGTGCTTCCAGCAGCTGCTGGCAGTGGGGAGCGGTACCTCCAAAATACTTGGGTCAACCCCTATGTTGCTGATGGTACTTCCAAACACGCACGTGCTTCTGCACATACACGTGCTCTTTGTGGCACAGAACCTCTTTCTCACAGGTTCTGGGTGTCACTGCTTCCCAGGTCTGTTTCACTGCCAGATCCTTTCTGTTGTCTTCCCATTCCCTAGAATTAGACTAAGGCCCTTTAAATGCAGGACCTGATTTTCCCATCCATCACATACCAACTTGCTGCTGACAACTCTGAGTCACATTCCCCTTTACTGGTACACAGGCAGAATAAAAATGCTGTCAAGGAACTGCAAATTCACCATGTGCTTAAGTGTCACTGCACAGCTAAGTATCACTGCACAGCTAAGTGTCACTGCACAGCATAAGAAAGCTATAAAAGGAAAGTAGCACAAATATGAGTCAGGCCCAGGGAATTCAAGCAGGTTAATCATGGTTATACTGGAGGATATCAGGAAAAGGAGTGGACAGACCCGGAATCTCACCTACTGAAAATCCAAGAGATTTGATTTTTATTTTTCTTGATTTCTCAACAGCTGAATTTCCTCACTCATTTATATCTTCATCACCTATTTCTGCTATCTGTTTTTACAACAGACCCTGTGTTTAACTTGCTGTGTATCTGGAGATCCTTACCCAGAAATTACTTGGTACAAAAACGAGAAGGCAATCGTCTTCAAAGATCGCTACAAAATGGATGTGAAGGGGGCAGTTGTCACAATTACCATTGAGAAAGTCTGCAATGAAGACACAGGAAAATACAGCATCTACGTCAAGAATAAGTATGGTTCTGAAACAGGGCAGGTTACTATCAGTGTCTATAAGCATGGAGAGATACCAATAGGGATGGAAGAAAAGGAAGTCACAGGTGGGATTGTCACAAAAAAGCCTAAATGAATTAGTTGATTATGAATCTAAAAGGAATTTCACTCCTTTAGATTCCTTTCAGTGTCTCTGCCCTAAAATTCAGGCTCATTTCTCTGTTTTAGTAATACTGTAGTATTTTGGTAGTTGTTAGAGAACAAGTCTCGTGTTTGTGTGAGTGTGCACACACGTGTGTGTGTACACAAGGATGCTCACCTTACAGAGAAACTTTCCTAGTAAACTTGTTTGGGCAGTACCAGAGGGTTCACATATGAGAACCAGGTGTCCAGTGGAGGCTTTTTGTATTAAATCACTATGTGTTACTGATTACCTTGTAGCTGACAAATGCTTGTGTGTATGTGTTATTAAACCTATACCCTTGGTGACATCTCAGCACTGTTGTCCAGTACATCCATCCTGAAATCAGTCAGCCCATGTGTGTATGGGAAGTAAGAGGTTTTCTCAGGTGCACTGCTGAATCCAGGCCTTAAAGCATGCTCCTTTACAAACTTAAGCCCCATTGAGAAGAACATGCTTTGCTCTTTACAGAGGAATAAATTCATCTTCCATATATACACTCTTAGATTAGATCATACTGGATGTAAAGTGTGGACTCTCAGCTGCTCTGAAGCCACAGCTACACTCCCAGCCTCCACCAGTAAAACCCTGTCAGTCAGTGATACAAAAGTGATTGCATTCCTGACACAGCCATCCAGCTAAGCACATTGGTTCAGCAAAACAGCACCTTACCTTGCTCCACAAACTCGTATAAACTGTCCTCACAATAGCAGTACTTTTCCTGGTTATTTGAGGGATGCTGCTTGTTCCAGTATCAATGTAAATGAACCCAGCAGTCCTCTACAGGGCTACCAATCATTTGATCAAAGGCAGTTGCATTTCAGACATTACTTTGGATTAAATGTCTATAATTATTAAATGTAATAAAACTAAAAAGTGAGATCTTAGCTAATTGCATAGATTTACCTGAAGAGTGAATAAGAAAAGCAGGCCCTTCTGTCAGTAACATCACTGTGGTAAATCAGGTGAATTGTGTCCTAGAGTAACTCCAACATAAACATGCCACTTCTAAGACCCATGAGTGCTAGACACACACTTCCAACCCCCCCAAAAAATAAAGCTTTGTCCATTATCATCACTTCATTCTTGCTACTCGTGGATTACCATATGGAAATGTAATTATGGAACTGGCTCTTTGTATGTGAACGTTTTTTAAAATTACATACTAAAAGAGAAAAAAAAAAAGAAGTTGTGAATTTGTAAGAAAAAGTTCAGCATTGGTTTTCTATTTAAATAGAAGATTTGCTGACCAGGATGGAGTAATAAAAGTTAACTTAGACAGGTCACCTACCCCTGGGATACAGACTCTATTTGAATTAAGCAATATAAGTGCAAGGCACAAAATCTAATGAATGTCTTCCAAAATCAACAGTCGTGCTTGCACAGACAGCGAGGAATATCGCTCAATAGCTACAGTGAGTGAGGAATTCTTGGTGTAATTGGTGAGAAGAAAAATAATACATCCTATTTACTTCTCTCAGCTCAGCCCTCAAGCAATGTTCTATGTTTTATTTTACCTTAAATCCTCTATGTATGCAGGGAGTACTAAAACAAGTAATAATAAACTGAATTAAATCAGATTTAGATGTGCATCACTGACACCTGCTGGATAAATTCGTAACTGACTGTCCCAGTCCAACATCATTTTCCCCATCCTCAAGCAACTGTAGACCTACAATCCTGGAAGAAATAGCTGTGGATTTTATTCCCACCATTTAAGGTTCAAACACCCATAGTAGAGAACACTGTGATAATTAGGAAGCTCCTACTTAAGACAGTAATTAGCTTACATCCATTGCAAATTATGCCATTTTATCTGAGGAATTCTATCCACACCACAGAAAATGTATTAACCATTGAAGTTGTGAACAGAATGAAAACAAATTAATCTATGCAACACTTTACAACAATTATGAATACCTGGGTTCAGTAACCCACAATAAACAAACCATCCCAAGCCAGCTGGTCATGAACGAGAGGTTATGATCACTAGGGAACAAACAAATGATTAATAATTGTTCCTCCACAGTTAATAATTCATCAGTCATCTCACAGTCTGGGCTTGTGACCACTTTCCATAAATAGCATCTGGATGACCAGGAAGAGCCCTCACTTTCCCGCCAGCACCACCACCCAAAGCTGTGTCATACACCCACAATGGCATTCAATGGAACCTGGCAGGTCTATGCCCAAGAGAACTACGAAGAGTTTCTGAAGGCTCTTGGTAAGTGTCTGGTTACTTCTGAAATCCTTTGCTTGGACTGTAACACACACTTTGCATGACATCTGCCATCACTGTATTTCTATGTTTTCTTTCTTTCATTTGGATGACAAACTACCCCCTGCCAGGTGAGGCTGTTGGGCCTAATTTGGAAATTAAATGAAACTGAATATTGTACAAGTCAGCGCAGAAAGGTTACAGATACCCCCCAAATCCCTTTCTCAACATTACGTGAGTCCCTCATGAAAGAAGAGGCATAACAAAAATCTACTTGTTTGATTACATATAACTTTAGAAATACATTTAACTAGAAACAAACTATCAACGATGTGCAGATGCACAAGTGATGTATGTGACTGGTGCATAGCGATCTGTAAGGAACACACTTGGTGGTTATGATTTAGTAGGTGCCTACGTTAATACAAATGCACTTACCCTCTCAACAATCTTGGCAAAACACTCACGTTATGAGTTTTTAAGAGTATTTTTATGAGTTCACGGGGTTTTAAGAGTATGTAAGAGCTATTCAGTAGAATAAGATGCAGTTACAGTTGACAAACCTACTCTGACAGTATGATGCCTGAACCAGTCCCTCTCTTGCTAAGGGTGATACGCTCACAGCATGCCAAAGACCCTGATACAGTAGTTTGAGGCTGATTGCAGTGCTGCAGCTCTGACTAGCTAGACACCAGCACCTCCAATCCTCCTGGGAAGAGGTGAGGGAAACAAAGTAATACACACGTTTTTTGTCACGGAGAAACACCATCTTATGGCAAACCACCACTGAATGAAATGATGCACAAATACAATATGAAAAGCTACACGGACTAGATGGAAAGGAACAACATGTCCACAGATAAGTGAGGAATTCAAACCAGATTTGCCTTTTAATCTGGACATCACTTTCTATTTCTTTTCTCTTTGGAGAAAAGAATTTGCTATTTCACATTAACACACTTCTTCATAACAGAAAAAGTCCTTTTTTTCCTTTTTTACAGCACTGCCAGATGACCTTATCAAACTCGCCAAAGACGTGAAGCCTGTTGTTGAAATAAAACAAAAAGGAGAGGACTTTGTTGTGACATCGAGGACACCCAAGCAATCTGTAACTAACTCATTTACAATTGGAAAAGAGGCTGATATCACTACCATGGATGGCAGAAAGCTAAAGGTACTGTATTTCAGGAATGGCTGCATCAGTTTGTTCATCCTTATACTTCAGTATCTGTGTCTGAGTGAAACTTGCTTGTACCATTTCTGTTAGTGCACAGTTCTACCACTGCACAAAAGTGTTTCTTCTAAAACTCCTGTTCAAACGCTGTGGTCTGCAGTTGAACTTTGCAGATGTGATTATGAAACACTGACATCATTTATTTCCTATAGTCATCTGCTTTTTCTAATCGAGTTCCAAACTCTAAATGTTCCACAATTTTTAAATCTGCTTCAACAGTGCACTGTGAACATGGTAAATGGAAAGCTCGTGTGCAAATCAGACAAATTCTCTCATGAGCAAGAAGTCAAAGGAAGTGAAATGGTGGAGGTAAGTGTTAGAAAATAAGAAAAACGCTGAAGGAAAATGTTCTGTGTTGATTAGTTTTTTAGTGTAAGCTCAATACCTTAAACAAATCCTGGCCCCACAACTACCACATTACTTGCAGAATTCCTTACAGGTGCCTAAATCTACAGAACTCAGATGCAGTGTTTCAGACTAACCATAGTTAGTGGAAAATACTAGTAGTATCTTTATTATTCCTGTTTCTTATTAAAACCAACTGCCTTAGATGACTCCTCTTTCAACACTGCTCATATATTTAATGCAAGCTGCTCAACAAATCCTTTTATTAATCACCACCCTGGGGCCAATTCTAGTGTGAAGGGCTGTAGCTGCTGAGCATGATGCAGAAAGACTCCTCACAAATTCCTCTAAATTACTACAGCAGCGTTTCCACCCTTACCTTTCCACAGCATTCCTGATGAAAAGAAAGTAAAAGCTGAGTCCAACCTGAAAATGTACAATACACTCATTCCATCTATAATTCTTCAAATTCTTTGGTTAGTTTTAAACTGTTCAGTAATGACAAAGAGCTGTTCTCTATAGTTAAGCTCATTTGGCTTCTCAGAAGCACCCACTTGGGTAAAGACTACTACAAGAGCTACTAAAGCTAAGTGCAGTAAAGTCCTATGTTTTGGACATACAATTCCTTAAGATCATTTTGAGTATCTCCAACTACTTTTCTAACATTAAGGCAGCACAAAACCAGGCAAAAGAACCCATTGCTATTTGGGACAGTGGATTTCTATTACAGGAAGCATCACCTACGATACCTCTTACAACAGAGTGAAAAAATGTAGCTGATGGTGACATTTATATTTAGATTTTCAGTCTCCAGAGCTGGTTCTGTAAAAATACTTTTCTTGGTATAAATGTTATACACGTATTTATAGGCAGGTGCTGTAAATATATTTGCTTTTGGAATAAGATGGATTTAAACATAAATTACAGAAGCTTCCAACCACTTAGCTAAAAATAGATTTTCTAAAGTCTAAATTAAAACCAAGTTATGCATATTTGTCTTCTACAGACTATGACTTTTGGTGGAGTAACGTTTGTCAGAAGAAGCAAGAGAGTTTAAAGGCAGATCACCTTCTTTGTGACATCTTTACATACCTAAAATAAAGTGCAGTTTCCACGAGGTGTGATCTTCATTACGTGAAAAATTAGAACAGAAAATAAGTGTGATTTCTACTCTTCTTTCACACACACATCACTTCCCGTAACTGTAAGACTGCGTTTTCCCCCTGACTACACTTCACTGCAAGTGACAGAAGTCTGCCTCCCAGACAACCAAACCTGGACATTAACTGGAACATTGTGATTTATCAGAATGATCCTTGGGAGTGGACAAGAAATGCTTCTTGATTTTTCACATGCTCAATGAACACACTTAGCTTTAGTTCCTCTGTCTAATAAAGTTTCATCTTCTACTAAAATCCTTTCTCTGTATCTAACCAGCAAGGAATAATTAGACATTGGTTTAGCTCATCTGTAACAGGAATAGAAACAGTAATATTTTAAAAGCTATGAAGTATTTAACAGTCATAAAACTAATAATAGGAATGACTGCTCTTAAACTGAAGTACACCAGAGTACAATTAAACAAAAATGAGGCACTACAAGAGCAAAGGGAATTGAACACTCTTTGAATTTGTAGAATAAATTAAATTCCATGGAGTTACACATAACAAGATCAACAGAACAGAAGCCAAGCCACTGGTAAAACTCAGGAGAAGGCTGCTTTAAAGCACTGGTACTGCAGAAAGCCATATAAAAGCTTGAAACACCTCTGTTTGGCAGTTGCTTGGTAACTGCTAACTACACACTGAAACACGACAAAACAGAGCACATTGTCCAACAGTAAATCCAGAGAACACTGCAAGTCTTCAGTGATCAAATCCTGTATCAGTAAGTGCAGGATACAAAGTACAAGACACTCAGGTTTATTTCTAAACCAACACAGAGACAATTCATTACCTGAACACCACGCCTGTTACAAAACAAGTATTTGCCTTAATGCATCATAAGGGGAATAAAATGGGAATGATGTTAAAGTAAAACGTACCTGATTTTAAAAGAAACATGGAAGCCTTACTTTGATTCAATGGCTACTCAAATATTCCCAGCTCACCTGACATAATCTGCCTTGCAAACTCACTTCCTCCCTATTCAAGTCCTTACCAGTGTTCAACCTCAACACACACCTGGTATACAAAGGCAGTTTAAGTTATAGATTGTAGACACTGTATACTAAAATCACATTAACTTATACAGAACTTAAACCACTTTAATTTGAAAGCACTACAAATTCTTAAAAGAATACTTTACCTCCCTTGCTTCTTAATTGTGGTGATTTAGCATTTCCAAGAACCATGCCAGTCTTCTCAATCCAATGGCAATATACTGTCACAGGACATCCCAGATTTAGGTGGAATATTCAGTGCAGCTCCTTAAAGGATTTTGATCAGACTGGGAACCTTGCCCCACCGCCCAAGTCATACATCACTTCTGGATGACAATCTCTTATGAGTTTGGACAATAGAAGTGGATCCACTCATCCACAAAACCAAGGATGTTTTTCTGCAAAGGACCTCATGGGAGTATTTATAATGTTATTTGGATGCTGTTCAAAACTGCTCATTTCCAATTTGAAAAGCTCTGGAAGGGTAATCCTGGCAGGAAGTGTTTCTCCCCATCACCAAACTCCACTCCTTGGTGGTTCCATTGTTTTTCAGAATGTCTCTACAGAATGAATTCTTTCTGCTTTGTGTCACACTCTCCCACCACAACTTCGGTCTCTAATGTGCTTTCTTGGCTGGATTTTTCACATTCTTTTGATGACTTGTGTAAGCAGATCTGTGCCTGTATCACACAAGGTAGCAGACTCAGCATGCTGCTAGCATACTTAGTGCAGAATAGCATTAACTGTAACATTAAACACAGAAAGCACAGAGGCCTCCGTGTCTCTTCTGCAGTCCCGACCACTGAGTGTACAAGCACCATCATTTTCTTATTTTTCTCCAAAAAGCAGCACATATATTTGGCATACACATGTCAGTGATCAAACTTCACCTGTTGCTCAAATCCTATAGGAATGTCAGGCAATTCTTCGTGAGAGATTGCCAGGATACGAGCAGCAGTGTCCACCCACTGGAGTTTTCCTTCATGTTCAGCCATTACACATAAAGAAGTTGAAATACACTAGTGAGACACATCACAACGGCATTAAGTCTTTTTCTTTTCTCTCTTTTCTGCAGCTTGGGGAATATTCCTCACACCAACAAAGGTGGAGACACCTTGCTTTACTGAACGCCTGCATCACATCAACCTGTGACTGTTTATCTCCCATTTAACACCTAGGGTAATCAGACACTGAGGTGTTAAGGAACAATCTCTCTACCCACCTACTTCATTGCTCTCACTACACAAACTGCTCTACAACTGGCCGGTGACAAATCCAGGAGCACAACAACGCTCGCAGTGACGGGGCTGCGGAGCAGCGATGCCTCCAGACATAGGAGC